ATTTATTTTTCACAAGATAAAATATTACTATTCCTATAGAATGGGGCGTGGTCAACACTCAAATCCAATCTTTCGAAGATTTGTCCTCCAATACCGCAATGACGGCCTAACATTTTCCGAAATATCGAAAAAACTAAATTGTTCGAGAAAAAAAGTTTATAACGCAATTAAACATTATGAAAAGAATCAATCTTTTGAGAGCATCACACGAAAAAGATCCAGAATAACGTCGCAAAGGACGGATCACTTAATAGTTAAAATGAGCAAAAGTGATCCTTTTTTAACTGCACCGAGGATACGGGAACAAATTCAAGAACAACTGGGAATAAACATATCAACAAGTACAATAAAGAACAGATTACGAGAAAATAATTTGTTTGGGCGCATTGCCAGGCGAAAACCACACGTGTCCCAAAAAAATCGAATAATTCGAGTTAATTTTGCCAAGGTCCATTTAGAAAAACCCCTTTCTTACTGGAATAATGTACTTTTCACGGACGAATCTAAGTTTAACCGCTTTGCCTCGGATGGAAAGTCATACGTAAGGCGAAATATAAACACAGAATTTGATCCAAGATACACGACAAAAACCATCAAACACGGTGGAGGAAGCGTGCTTGTTTGGGGAGGCTTCTCGTGGTACGGTGTGGGTCCTATAACACGAATAGAAGGTATAATGGACCAATTAGCTTACAAAAACATTTTAATGAATATAATGTTACCATACGCTGAGGAAGATATGCCTCTAAAGTGGAAGCTTGTACAGGATAATGATCCCAAGCACACGGCTAAGTCCGTTAAAAAATGGATTTCTGATAATAAAATTGAGGTAGTACCATGGCCAGCCCAATCTCACGATTTAAATCCCATCGAGAATCTATGGCACGATGTTGATAAGAGAATAGATCGTTCTAATGCTACAAATATGAACATTTTATGGACTGAAATCCAAAAGGCATGGTATTCCATCCCTTTAGAAAGATGTCAATCGCTGATTCAGTCAATGCACCGTCGATTCACAGCCCTTGTTAAAAATAAGGGATTTCCTACAAAGTACTGATGGTATTAACAAATTTAAATTTATTTAACATATAATAAAATTGAATTAATCATAAGTTTTTAATGAATTTTAGATGCACTATCATGTGTGCTATTTAATTTGTCGTGAATAAAATCGTTTTTTTTTGTTAAAAAATTATGTAAAAATATGTATGAACACAAAATAAGAAAATGAATCACTATTAATTAATTAACAACAATATATGTAACTTAAATATAATAAAGGTTTTTAATTTTTTCGTACCGATTGAAGGAAAATTATCATTTATTCCTCTATATATGAAACGTGCTATTTGAGATGTCGCCACTGTATATCTGAGATCAATATCGAATAATTTTAGAACTGCTGTCAAACGTTCTCGGGACATTTGCATATTTGGCATCTTAAGAATTCAAGTCTTTGACTGACCTACCTAGGCAAAATTAGCATGTTATCATTCTGCAAATTGAAAGAGCGTGTAAGTGTATGTTTATTTACTGATTACGCATAAACCTCTGTGGTCACAATTACTATCAATTTATACGCAACAAATTGCTTTGTTTATTGGATTTATGACTAATAGCCTGAATTTCTAAAGCAATTGAAAGGTTTCATTCGCCTCCTATTCGAAAGAAATGTAGTTCCTTTTCTAGTAACGATATATTTCTACTCGAATGTTGACTAACATCGACAACCCGAAAGAAAACCTAAGCATTTGAGAAATTCTTAGGTTTACTTGAAAACGAATGCCAAATTCAATCACTTTTATACCCTCCACCGTAGTATGGAGGGTATATTAAGTTTGTCATTCCGTTTGTAACACCTCGAAATACACATTTTAGACTCTACTAAGTATATATATTCTTAATAAGCATAAAATTCTATGTCGATTAAGCCATATGCGCCTGTCTGTCTTTTGTAATCACTCTAGCTTTCGAACGAATTGAAGTAGATTGATAAAATTTTGCTCAAATGAATGTTATGTTTGCAGGACTTTTGATATTGAAAATGGGCCATGTAGGTTCACGTTTTGGTATAGCCCCCATATAACGGTATCTCCCAATATTCGGTATTTTGATGATATTAGCGTCATTATTCACCGTTTATTTCAAATTTCGAATTTGAATATGGTAATGGCTTCGAAAGAATTGAGATAGAAGGCTAAAAATTTGAACACATGTTTATTTTGCCAGCAGGCGGGTTAAGTTCGTAAATGGGCCATGTACGTCCACGTTTTCATATAGCCTCCATATAACGGTACCTCCCTATATTCGGTATTTACACGATTTTAGCGACATTATGCACCGGAATTGTTTCAAATTTGGTGTTTGAAGTTCGTAATGAATACTACAGCCTAAGGCAGAAAATTGTCTACGCAGGTCTACGTCTTCGTGGAGCCACCATATAACGGTGCCTCCCTTTATTCGGTATTTTGATGATTTTAGCGTAATTATTCACCGGAATTGTTTCAAATTAAGTACTTATAGTTCGTAATGGAAACTACAGTCTGTGACAGAAAATTGTCTATGTAGGTTCTTGTCTTCGTATAGGCCACACATATCAGTACCCACTATATTCGGTATTTTGAAGATTTTAGGTACAATACTCACCGAAATTGTTTGAAATGTCGTATTTGAAGTTAATAATGGAAGCTACAGCCTGTGACAGAAAATTGTCTATGCTGGTCCAGGTCTTCGCACAGCTTCGATATAACGGTACCTCTTTATATACGATATTTTGATGCTTTTAGCTACATTACCGTTTATTTCAAGTTTCGAATTTGAATATTGTAATGTCTTGTGACAAACAATGCCTATGTAGGTCCACGTCGTATACACTCCAAAATAACTACTATCTTCCGTATTTTTAAAATTGTAACATAATTTTTTAAGGATTTTATTTTTTGAAAATTTCCAAATTTGTTCCAAATGGTGGAGGGTATTCAAAGTTTGCCCGGCCGAACTTACTGCATTTTAACTTGTTTTACTTTTTTTTATATAAAAATGAAATTAGTTTTTTTTTTGTTTTTAAAAAGCAAATAATATAATAATATATATAATAAATTTTGTTGTTGCAAAATGGTCTGGCTTTATCCCTTTATTGTTGTTTTTATAAAAACAACGTTTGTTTATTAGTGGAGAACGATCGTAATGTTTACCAGGGGGTAAGGCAGGGAATACCTAGGTTTCGGAAAGAGCCACCAATCCTCATCAGTTCCCTTGTTTTTGTCTGGGATATTCTCCCCAGAAGTTATTTTAAAAATAACTTCTATGACAAAAAACATTTTTTACCCGAGTGACGAGATCGTAAGCTCAATAGAAGAGGAAACCTAGGTATTCCCTGCCTTACCCCCTGGTAAACATTACCATCGTTCTCCACTAATAAACAAACGTTGTTTTTATAAAAACAACAATAAAGGGATAAAGCCAGACCATTTTGCAACAACAAAATACTACGGTATCCCGAACAAACAAGCCACACTGTTCTATTATATATAATAAATTTTAAAATTTATAGGGCAGTCATTCTCTTTGTAATTTCAGTTGCTTCAGTTTTGGCCACCGTGTATATTGTATCGAATTAATGCCGTTAGAAAAGATTATTAAACTATTTCTACATATTTTACGACCCTTTTGTTGAAATATTACTATTGCGATTTAATTTCTTCAACACCAATGTTGCTTTTGTAAAGATGCTACTTGTTGCAATTCAGGCATAGCCCGCACTTAAGCAACATGACTGCAGTTAAACATTTCTATAGTGTTGACTCACTTTTGACGTTTAAAAATAAGGTGATCTTTACAAAGGCCTAACGTATTATTTCTGACCGCATATTTCCTCATGCATCATATCTTTAATAATTCAGTTAACGAGCATGGACTAAAAAGTCCCCCATTTAAGGTGGAAATTCGAAATATGGTACGGCATCTAGGAATTTTAATGCAAAATGTCAATTATCTTCCTTTTTATACCTCCACCATACATAGTGTGGAGGGTATATTAAGTTCGTCATTCCGTTTGTAACTCATCGAAATAATCAACAAAGTATATATATTCTTGATCAGCATAAAATTCGAAGCCGATTTGGCGATGTCCGTCTGTCTGTCTCCCTGTTGTAATCACGCTATCATCATATAGCCCCATATAACGCTACCTCCCTATATTCGGTATTTTGTTGATTTTAGCGACATTATTGACGGGAATTGTTTCAAATTTGGTATTTGAAGTTCGAAATGGATACTACAGCCTAAGACAGAAAATTATCTGTGCAGGTCCACGACTTCGTATAGCCCCCATATAACGGTATCTCCCTATATTCGGTATTTTGCTGATTTTAGCGACATTATTGACCGGAAATGTTTCAAATTTGGTATTTGAAGTTCGTAATGGATACTACAGCCTAAGACAGAAAATTATCTGTGCAGGTCCACGACTTCGTATAGCCCCCACATAACGATACCTCCCTATATTCGATATTTTGCTGATTTTAGCGACATTATTCACCATTTATTTTAAGTTTCGAATTTGAATATGGTAATATGGCTTCTTACAAACAATGCCTATGTATGTTGGGGTCAACGTCGTATAGACCCCAATATAACGGCTATAAACGGTAATTTTAAAATTTTAACAGAATTTTTAAGAGTTTTATTTTTTTTTTAATTTCCAAGTTCGTTCCAAATGTTGGAGGCTATTCAAAGTTCGGCCCGGCCGAATTTTCTGCTTTTTTTACTTGTTAAATTTGATTTTAGCATTTTCATACAAAATATACTTCACTTCACAAAAGTTGAATATTTTAGTGAATTGTTTATTTTATTTATAAAACACTATTCCACAAATATACACATCACTGCATATAATATTTCTCATATATTCTATTACAGAACGTTTACAGCCTGCGTCAAATAAATGATCCTCATGAAAGAGGTTAACCAGGCAAAAATCACCAATACAAACATACTATTTGCCATATTTTTGTGCTCATCGCTAATCGCCATTTGTAGTAACATTTAATTTCTTTGACTAATTCACAAAAACGTATTACTTTTCACACAACCCTCGTATATTTACTCATATCAAGCATGTACTAGATTATTTTTTCGAGATTGTCTTCATACGAACGAGTTGATTACTTTCTTTCGATTAAATACCACTGAGGATATTTATGCCATCACATGTTGCATTATCGACAGTCAAGAATCACGCACTCTCACACTACTCGAATTATTTGACGTTTTTTGTTTTTTTTTTTTTTTCAACTTTAATTAGATCATCGAGGGATTTATTCGAATACTTTTTTACATTTATAATTTGACGAGGCCAACAATGGCTACGAGTTTAATTACTCATCAATTTTTGTATCGGAACTGCTGATAAGCGATATACATAAACAGAAAGCGGTTATAAATTTATATTTGAATTGCTGTTGTTGTTATTGTGATATTTGAAAATTGAAAAAGAAAAAAAAAACTAATGAAAATAGGCTGGTATTGGAATTATCTTTACGTTTTCGTTTACTTAGTCAACGGCGCTAGGGCAAGTGGCGGAAACAATTTGTACACTTCGTTTGTTTTACTTTCCGAAATTTCCGTAGAACCGTTAAGAGCGACAGCTCACAATACACTGTTCTTATTCGAAAAGTTGGTAGTTGAGACAGTTAGCGTTTCAGCGTCGTAGCTCCTGTTGAGTATCATTTGTTAAAACGAAAAAATCTCTTTGGTTGTGTAGCTGTGGCCTTATCAGTTGTCTTGACTATAAGATATTGGTCTGACATTGGATACCCTATGAATGCACCTTTTGTGAACTAGGAGTTCGCATTCTTTTCATTTTTAATTGCAATTTTAAAGGGGAAAAATTCTTAAAAATATTTTATACAGATCGACGGTTATGATAATTCTTAACAAATTCGATAAACACAAACCCTGAGACTTATGGCTTGTACCTTCAGACTTACCAATAACAAATGCAATAATCTGCTTTTTTGACATTTTTCTCCCAACATTTTTATATAAAAAATCGACTACAATTCTTTTTCTTAACCCCTTGTGACGGTCATTGTTGTCTCTTATAATTTTACATGTATATGCCATGCCGCGATGTCAAGCTGTTAAGGTGCAAGTACATAAAAAGCTAGGCATATTAATGTCCAATTATAATGGAAAACGACGGCAAGATTTTAGTGCGGCTCTGTAATCCCTTTATGAAATGTCACAAAATATGCCTAGCCATGACTACAAGCTTCTTATGTACTTACACCTTTAATGTATCATAGCAAGAGTCTTCATATTACACATTAACTCCAGAACTACAAAAATGTTAAAGTTATTTCTGCGATAACCGATTTTTGCTTTCATTTGATATAAAAAAGGATTCTTACAGGCTCTGGAACTTATGTCAATCTATTTTTCCATACTTACCTTTATCTTTTTATAGCATACCTTTAGAAAGTCACCAGAATTGAAATACAATTTTCATAGTTTAAATATAGTATTGTATTGAATATACTTTATAATAATTATACTTTATTTACATATAGCAATGCTGTGAAGTTTTAACATCGTTGTTGCGCCTAAAAGTATGCTACAAAACATGCTAAATATTAAATGTGAGAAACCATGGTACAATAAGGAGGTAGAACAGCTTCGTTAAACTAAAGAAATACAGGCCTGAGGCTATGCCCGCTTCCATTGTCCATTTCAAAAATGAGTCAAATAGAGCGAAAAATGAATGAAATGTCTGGATGTTCTCTCAAAAATATGATTCTAAGTGTTCAATCTCTCAGTTACATGACAAATCTGGTTAATATTATTAATGCGCGTCCCGCAATTTAAGTTTCTTCCAATCATTGCTTTTCGAAAATATTTTTTTTTTTATTTTTCAAAACAACAAATACATACACAAAATTGGCAGAAGTCGGGCACACTTAGAAAAAAATTGTGATCAGCTGGGAGCTCTACCTTACCTTTTTATTGTACCATGTGAGAAACTTACTTTACGTATGATTCTAACATCATGTCCCAACTAGGACAACGTGTTTACACATTTTAGTATGAGGTACTTCGAAGGTACTATTCATTGCTCCATAAGAATGTTTACTCAACTTCAAAGAAATTAGAAAAAATATAACTCTTTGCTGGAGTCTTCTATTGGCAAATAGACTTATGCATATGCAACAGTGGGTTTTGTTTATTTTTAATTTTGATAAAAAAAATTATATTGGGGAAAACCAGCGAAACAAGAGTAGCATTTCAAGGTTATTCCACAAGATATAATCTAAAATAGTAGGACAATGCAATTTTATCCCAATGTGTTGCCCATTAATGTCGAAAATATGTATTTATTTTGCAACCGAATTTTAAATAATTTCAAATTATTGTATTTTTTATTTAAAACCATACACACACATACACAAAATGTGTATATATTTTGACAGAATAATGGCACCAAAAGAAACATTTATTATTTAGGGGGTAGCTTTGTTCTACCTTCTGTTATTGTGCCATGGTACTGTTCTAGTTTCTTGAGTTAATATTTCTCGTTGTTTTCGGTTTTGCATTTTACTATTTCTCGCTCTTTTATTAATTCTGTCTTGATTGAAACCCGCGTCGCAGTGGTCGTTAGCGGAACATTGCGATATGTTCCATTCGGCAAATATTGAAAAATGTAGTCAATGTAAAGCCATTGAAATTCCAAATGTGCAAGAACTTAAACCGCAACAGTAAGAAAATAGACCCAAAAGAGCTAAAGAGTTACTTCGCTTGGCCGAAAGTGGTGAACTGCCGAATTTGGTTTTCTCCGATGAGAAAACATTCATTGTCCAGCAGTTTGTAAAAAAAAACAAAATGATCGTGTTTACTTCATCGGTGACTTAAGTCAGTCAAAAAAGCGTTTTACGTATTCTCACGTTCAATTCACGTGGCTTTTAATTATACCATGACATATGATAGATAATTTCTTCAAACCCTATTTTTTCAAAAAAAAATGTCACTCGTTTTACATAGAAAGTTACAGCATTTATTTTAAAATTACCTAAAAAATTATAGATGAGTTCTAATATGAAAAGGGGTTGCCATTTGTCAAAAAAAGATTACCCTTCTAATTATATCATGGATATTAAGGCTAGGACAGACCAAGGCTTAAATCTGGACTTCAGCGTGAAAATATAACACCGTTGCCACTTGTACCTGGCAACAGGGTTGTATTTTCACGTTTCGACAACATCTCATTGTCAAAATGTTTATTTATAAATGTATTATATACACAAATCAGAGACAAAATAAATTACAGAAAATGCAGAGGTGGAAAATTTTTTCATGACTTTATCTTCTTAATTTTACTTTGCTTTGGACATTATACAAAATATCTTTACATCTTTGCCAGAGTCAACCGTGATAATTTGCAAATCACAATAAACTCACTTAAAACTTAAAAATCAGTAATTTTGAAACAACATTGGTATCTATCGGTAAGTCTTAACAACTACTTTGATTTCGACGCTACCTTACCGATAAATTTCATTAATTACCCATATTATATGCAATTTATTTTAACCAACTTTTGTGGGTAACTCAAAAAAAGAGTTAAGGTAAGAATACATAAAACGCTTTTCTGACTAGCTTAAGTCATCGGCTGGATTCTTCGGAAAAGAACAAAGGAGCCTAGGGCCGAAATCGAACTAAGTCAACCTAAAACTTCTTTGTTCCTCTACTAAGAAGCCAGTCAAAATAACTTTTTATGTACTTTCACCTTTAGAGAATCACACTACTGGATAAGGATTTTAATGTAAATTTAATGTAAATGTATATTTTAAATTACGTTTCATGATATCACAAAAAAAAAAAAATGGAAGAAAATAGTTTTCCTTTCATAGAACAAGAATCGCACCCCAGGCTCGCAATTCTTGCCCATGAAATGTAATATTAAACCTTTTATTAACGAAAGATATGTAAAATATGTTGAATTTCTTTTATTACAAAGTAAACGATTGTATTTTATTTTATTCTATATTTTTATTTTTTTATTCAACAAAGCAAATATGATGACATGACACATGGAAACGTGTACAGCTATTTCTTCCCTTTCACTTCTTCGCTGCGTACGTAATTCTTAAGCTGGAAATACGTAAAGCGCTTATCTGGCTGGCTTAAGTCATCGGCTGGCTTCTTCGGAAATGAACAAAGGAGCCCAGGGCCAAAATCGAACTAAGTCAACCTAAAACTCCTTTGTTCATCTACGAAGAAGCCAGCCGATGACTTAAGCCAGCCAAATATGCTCTTTATGTATTTCCGGCCTTAGAACGACAACGTTGTTCGAATGCCATTGGAAACATGCTATTAGATATAATCCACATTCGAAAAGAACAACCGAGTACCAAACTAACAGCAATTTATCAATTATTCAAAAGTCGAACTATGAAACCCTATCTAAATGACAGCTGTGTAAAAATAATCCTGAGAGGAAAAAAGTAAACACGCAACGCAGCAAATCAACAAAGGACTAAATATTTTTGGAGTTTTCCGGAATATTTAATCATCGGTGAAGTATATCACGAGTTAGGTGCCCTAAGAGGCGTACAGAACATTTTGTATTGTCGATTTTCAGTTGCCGGCTTAGGTGGAGATGTCGGCATTTACCGAGACAGCTTTTCTAAAAAAGTTGGCAGAGCTCAATTCAAGTCAGCAAAGCATCCAGACATTATCCCTGTGGCTGATACATCACCGCAAACATCATGCCAGTATTGTTAAGACTTGGTTGCGTGAATTGCATGGAGGTAAGTGGGGAATTCCCGATACGACGTGACAAACCGCATCGCTAACGGCCACTTTGTTTTTCTAGTACCCGAACCAAAAAAATTGACATTCATGTATTTGGCCAACGATGTTATACAAAATAGCAAAAAGAAAGGTCCCGAATATGGTAAGGAATATATGAACGCATTGCCCAAAGCTTTTGCCCACATTGGAGAAACATGCAGTACCGAAAAACTGTTTGGCAGTTTGGGACGCATTCTTAATATATGGGAAGAAAGAGGTGTTTATGATTCGAAAATTATTGATGATTATCGAACTCGCTTGAATTGCAAAAAGGGCTTAGACAACACGGCTACCTCTGCTGGAGCGGACGAGAGACGTGAATCGAAACGTAAACATGAGGATAACAAACATCGTTCCAAAAAGACTCGTCCATCACCTTCGCGTGTAGAAGAGAAAACATCGAGTAGTAATGTTTTGGAACACAATGGGGATGGTGATAATAGTCCCTATGTTCCATTGGGAGAACCACCCGAACCTGAAGATCTCATTAAAGCACTGATTAGCATTGAAAATTCTGCCTCAAGTGATGCTGTTGTTCGTGAACGAATTGCCAATCTGCCTCCGGAAATATCTGAAGTCAGTTGCCTATCTAAATTGGAGGACAAGGAGGCTGCTCAAAATTTAGCTAAACAGGTGTGTAACACATTTCATAATCGATAACGTTTTGTATAGAGTTTAACTTATCTGAAACTTTTCATTGCAATGTATTGTAAAGTTACAGCATTAAATAGTAACGGTTTTAATCCCTATTATAAAAACAGTTTGTGCTATATCCTTTGTAAAAATAATATATGAGACTCAATTGTTACTGTTTTATATAGCATATTTTATGTTAACTTATACTACAAAAATTATTGCATCGGTGAAATGGGTCGAGCTGGCTATGTGCATGCGTCTCACAAACGCTTTATATTGTTGTAACACTCGCAATTTTTTTGGAGTCGGTCTAGTCAAAAGGGTTTTACTCTACATTCCGACCTTAATATTTATGCGACAGTCTTGATGTAGCTCAACAAACATCTTAGGAAGGCAGTTGTCTGTTCTCAAAAAAGTTTGGACAACCATTTTTTGAGTCCCTAACATTTGGCATAGCCGATGTAATTTGGTAAAGTTAATAGATTTTAATAAAATGGGTGCTTAACTTGAAATGTATGTGTATTGTAGTATATTTTCAACAAAAACCATCCAAAATATGAAAAATGAACAATCTCATTCGTAGAATGCTAAGAATGTGCCGTCTGGACCGCTTATATATTTATTTTTACATTTATATCTAAAAAGACTAATTGTAACGGAATTTAATTTTAGATGTGAAAAAAGCTTGAAAGGTACTTTAATGAAACAAGTCGGATTTAAAGTTTATTAAGATTAAATTCAAAAAGTACATTGTAACTTATAAATATGTAATTTATTAATATTTTTAACCACTTTTATTTTTTAGGTAAATGAAGCTGTTGAACTTTTGAATGACTACAATTCAAGACTTGCTGCCGAAATGGAAGAGCGTACAAAACTTGCAGTGATGTTGCGTGATTTTCAGGCAGAACAAAAGGAACTCCTTGCTCAAGCAGAAAAACGTTTAGAGGTAAGAAATATAAAGTGTATTTCTAAAGCACTGATGATTACTGAAGAATTAAGTATAAAAATATACGTTTATATAGTGTGAACTTACATAAACTGGTAGTGTAATCTTTTAAACAAGAAAAAAATAACTTTCGTCTTCTGAGATATAAACAAATTGTGTATGATTTCTCAAAGACTATAAATACTAAAATTTTTTACACTCTCAGTCATATGGCTACAGAGGGTATATATCATTTGATACGTCCAAATCGTGCCTGTTCGAAATAACGGACCCTAGGTCTCTTTGTCGATTTGGGGGTGTCCGTCCGTCTGTCTGATAATGGCAATATCGGTCCACTACTTCTGATGCCTCACCCGCAACGGATCAACATTTTGAATCGCCATGAAGATTATAACACTCGAAGTGAGCATCCGATTTCTTTCACACCCGTCACACCTCCATATTTCTATCAACACAAATTCTGATGTAAATATGGAATTTATCGACCAACTACTTCTGGTACCTCCCCAACGGCGAATCAAGTTCGTGAATTTCATCAAATTTCGTGTATCTCAATATTTCTGTTAATCATAGATCTAATATATATTTCGGTCCACTCGTTCTGGTTAAACTTTTGAGTAACAATTTTTCCTATAGAGCTGTAAATACAGGGTGATATGAAAAAACTGCAACCAACTTCAGACTGCTGTCATTTCTAAGCCACTCGTTCGAAAGCTGTTAAATTATTCCAGTGACAGCTCATTATATTACAAGCGTAGTTATTCGTGATACTGGTAGCGTAGCCAGACGTCAAGGAAGTGGACGGAAGAAAACAGCAACATCAGCAGAATTGATTCGAAAAGTAAAGAAGCGACTTGATCGAAGTCCGCTTCGAAGTGGCCGAAAAATGGCTCGTGAGCTGAACATATCACAATATTCCATTCGGCAAATATTGAAAAATGAGCTCGGGGTAAAACCATTGGAATTCCAAAATGTGCAAGATCTTACACCGCAACAGAAAGAAAATTGACTCAAAAGGACTGAAGAGTTGCTTCGCTTGGCGGAAAGTGGTGAACTGCCGAATTTGGTTTTCTCCGATGAGAAAACATTCGTTGTCCAGCAGTTTGTTGACAAACAAAATGATCGTGTCTACTTGCCGAAGAGGTCAGGTGAAAATGTGCATTTCAGGTTGGCCACCAGAACTCAAGCCCCGGCAATGGTGATTGCCGCCATAACAGCCGATGGTCGGTCTCCGCTCATATTAATCGACGTGGCATCAGAATAAATGGCGAATATTATCGCGAAAATATTCTGGAGGGTGTATTAATGCCTTGGGCACGCTAACATTTTGGCCGCTGACCTCAGACATTCCAACAGCACTTAGCGCCATCGCACTCAGCACGCGCCACCGAAGAATGTTTACAGAATAAGGTTCCATGCTTCATTTCCAGCGCACAATGGCCACCAAAATCCCCGGATACCAATCCGTTGGACTATTTTGTCTGGAGTATTTTGGAAATCAAGGTTGGCACCAAAAAGCACCAAAGTGTCGATCACCTCAAGCAAGCGCTTCGCCGGAAATGTTCCAAAATACCGCAGAGCAACATTCGGGCAGCGTGTGATGGTTTCATTGGCCGTTTGACCAATTCGAAGTAATATAAACTTATTCCAAAATTTGATGATATTTCCGACATTTTTTGCCTTCATTCAATAAAATTTAAAAAAATGTAAAATTTTTGGCGTTTGACTCTGTTGCAGTTTTTTTATATCACCCTGTAATTGTTCGATTTTATTTAAATTTTGCACATCCAGTCCAATCAATGGCACAAATCTGACACCTTGTAATATTATTATATTATAATAGACCAGATAGGAAATAGAGAATATTGGTCAACCGTTTCGTAATCTCCCCCATTAAGCGTCGACATATAATGTGATTTTATGAAGCTTATCAAAAGTAGCTTACGCTATGTTCAAAGATGTGCAGTTAACTTATTAGTCTTTTTAGCTACTTTAATTTTCTGGCCAGTTGAAGAATTAGAGCTGATTTTGTATCCGAGAATTAAAAGATAGACATTGGGTAATTTTTTCTCCTATAAGCCTAAGTCTCACACCAAAGAATATTGGCAAGTTTGGACTAAGAAAAGGATTATACGTCGGTTTCTTCTTCATTTAAGTACATTTCTGATATCTCCACCAACATCATTGAATCTTATTGCATGTAACTCTTACATGGTCAAACCAAAACCCCACAGCATCATGATTCATATGGATTCATTTTGATTGTAGCCAGTGGCTTTATAATCAGACTTAATCAGTAAAATACAACTCTTATTGCAGACAATTTGCTTTGCATAAACGCCAGGTTAATTATCTTTGAGGTTCCTACTTTAATTAATCCATTGCTTGTAACAATATGCATCACAGTCAAACATGCCAGTATTTCCAAAATTCGCAAAGTCTATATCTGTACTAAGAAATATTTTCTATTTGGTTTTTATTTTCAAGTGAAACAAAAAAAAAATCACATACGGTTCTCTAAATATGCAACCTGTTGCATTATTTATTTTTTATTATTTCTTTTCACTTACAGGAATCTAAAAAGAAAAAGGAAAAGGTTTTGGCTGTACAAAAAGAGATACGGGACCATCTCTCGAACTTGCCCGATCTTACTCAATTACCAGATGTAACTGGTGGTTTGGCTCCACTACCATCGGCTGGCGATCTATTCAGTATCCATTGAAGCTATTGTCGCGTTCTACAATGGAAATTCTATGAATTTTTTATTGAATGATATGTGAATGATAAACAACAAAATCATTATTAAGATTGACAAACGTAAAAAAGCTCTAGTTTTAAGATATTTTTGGACAAAATTTGAAATTTATTGTTAGACAAAAACCAAACAAAGCTATTGGAATTATACAAACAAATGTTGACACACATGGTTTTTTTCTTCTTTCTTTTATTCACCACTATGAATACACTCAATATACATGCATTGCATAGTATTTATTTCTTAAGATCGAAGCGATAAAATATCGTTCTAATATCCAGAGTTTAGTTACAAAAAAAAAAAAAAAAAAAAATAAATAAATAAACAAATAAATAAAAATAAATAAACATTAAATGTTGCTATAAGTAGTCATTAAATTAGTTTTCGCACTCAATATTTTTTTGTTTGTTTGTAATAATTTGTACAAAATGTTGCTGTGCATATATACACTGGTGGCCAAAACTAAAGCAACTTAAATCGCAAAGACGATAAATGTCCTGTAACTTTTACAAAAATAAACAAATCGTAATTATTTTTTCCAAATCGTAATAATAAACAAATCGTAATTCACTTTTAAGAAACTATAAAAAAAATACAAAAATAATTTTGAACGAAAAATAATATGTGGAAAACTAAAATGACCCAATTTTTGCTTGGTCAAAACTAAAGCAACTTTTGATTTTTTATTTTAAAATAATTAAATTTTGGCTAGTAGTCGATAGCATAACCATTATTTTTGATAGCAGCTGCACACCTACGAGGCATTGAATCTATAACACGCTCAATTGGGTGTGCTTTCCCAGGCACCCCGAATTGTTTAGAAAATGTTGTGCTTATTTATTTCCGATTCTCGCTTGATCTTCCTATCTACGATACTCCTAAGGTTTTCTATGGAGTTTAGGACAGGTAATTGTGCCGGCCATAACAAAACATCAATTTTTGACTCCCGCAACCAATATTTGACAAGTTTTGATACAAGTTTGGGATCATTGTCATGCTGAAACACCCAAATCAGCCGAATATTTCATTCAGCGTAAGGGAACAACCTGATGTCCAACACATCTTTGTAAACAAACCGATCCACAACTTCCTTTATTTTATGGAAAGGCCCAAATCTATAGAAAGAAAAAGAGCGCCACGCCATTTTTGACCCTCATGATTCACTGTACCTTTGCAACACTGCGGCTTGAGTCCTTAGTTTTTTAAACTTCTCACCGTAAAATTTTTCACGTCTGAGCCTTTAATATTAAACGTAGACTCATCCCAGAAATAATTTTTTTCCCATTGACCTTGATTCCACTTAATATTATCGTTTCAGAAAGCCTTTTTGATTTTTTTTGATGTCTTACGGGCATGCAGACCATCTGCCAATACTCATCTACGCACTGATCTCGAGCTTATATCCAATGATTGCTCTCTCACCAATCCAGTTGAACTCTTAAATGGTTGTTTTTTTATTTCTCTCACAATTTGTGGATCAGTACGGGCTGAAGTTTTTCACGGCCTTCATCCGTTATAGACTGTTACTACTGATCAAGTTTCAAAAAACCAACTTAGTATACAGAAATAAATATTTAAATATTTATGAAATATTTCTCGGAAATTATTTTCTGTGATATGTTGTATTGATAGTCACTGATAATTTGCTGTTTTATTCAGGTACTGTATTTGCTTCTAGCCATTTTTAAAACTTTTTTGGGCAGTACTTAAAAAACAAAAACAAATACTGTTGTAAAAAACTTCTCAAAAAGAATTTATGACAAACGAAATTGTCGAAGGAAGCAAAAAGCGATAAATATCACAGTAAAAACAACTGAAATTGCAGCGGTTATATGAATGTACAACAGAGTTGCTTTTGTTTTGTACAACCCAAAATCGGGTTAATTGACTTTACCAAACATTATTTTTTATATAAAAATGAATTTTGGTTTTAAATTTAAGTTTTTAAAAAGTAAATAAAGTACTTAATTTAAAACAAGAAAAACTTTCTCATTTTCTTTTAAAAAAGTTACAGGGCATTCATTCTCCTTGTAATTTCAGTTGCTTTAGTTTTGGCCACCAGTGTATATATAGTTATGTTAATGAAAGGCGTTAGTTATTTGGTTATATATTAAGAACCAACGCAAATGAAACTTCCAAATAGAATTGAATTGTTGAATTTTTTGCATTATCGTATCACATCATTAAATCACCTTATAGAAGTTTTCAGCATGTTTAGCTTATTTTTGAGATGACTTTAAAATTTAAATTCCCGAATTTTAAACATAAAATATTTTTTTGTGTAACAATCTTTTTAATTGGGGGAGTCAAATTACAATATTTCGTCTCAAAAACAAGTTATATAAGCTGCAAACTTATATATACCTTTTATACCCTCCATCATAGTATTGAGGGTATATTATATAGAGTCAATGTCAATTAAGCGATGTCCGTACGTCTGTGGCAATCACTCTAGCTTCCGAACGAAATGAAGTAGGTTGATAAAATTTTACTCAAATGTATATTATGTCTGCAGGACTTTTGGTATTGAAAATGGGCCATGTAGGTCCACGTTTTGGTATAGCCCCGTACAACGGTACCTCCCGATATTCTGTATTTTGATGATTTTAGCGACAATATTCACCCGAATTGTTTCAAATTTGGTATTTGAAGTTCGTAATAGATACTACAGTTTATGACAGAAAATAGTCTGTGCAGGTCCAAGTCTTCGTATGGCGCCAAGATAACGGCATCTCCCGATATTTGGTATTTTGATGATTTTAGCGACATTATTCGCCGGAATAGTTTCCATTTTGGTATTTGCAGTTCGTTATGGATACTACAGTCTATGACAGAAAATTGCCTGTGCAGGTTCACGTCTTCCTATAGCCCTCATATAACGGTACCTCCCGATATTTAGTATTTTGATGATTTTAGTGACATTATTCAAGGATTTTTTTCAGATTTCGCATTTGAATATTGTAATGGCTTATGACAATAGTTGCCTAGGCAGGTCCACGTCGTCTTTTAAAGCCTAATATAACGGCTACATTAGGTATTTTTAAGGTTTTAACAGAATTTTCAGCGGATTTTAGTTTTTTGAAAATTACCAAATTTGTTCCAACTGGTGGAGAGTACTCAACGTTCGGACCGGCCAAAATTACAGCTTTTTTACTTCAAGAAAAAAAAAAAAAAAAAAAAATATATATATATATATATATATATATATATATATATATATATATATATATATATATATATATATATATATATATATATATATATATATATAAATTAATTCAATGTTAATTTATTTATTTTTTTTAAAAATTTGTGATTGCTGCTTACTGCAAGCAATCACGTCTTTATTGGTTAAGGTTCCGGACTACAAAGTAAATAATGAAATAAAACTACCCTAACTTATACTTTGGATTCATGCACCCAGATGATACTGGACACCTGCTCGTGTTGGCGATGGAATGTTGCTGTCTGCCTGTTGGATGTTGTTGTCAGTGTTTCGGTGGGAACTGCAGTGTCAGCAAAATGACACGCTTATACTTTGGTTGATGAATTCTTTGGGTTGCTAATGTTGAATTTGAATATGTCTGGTGTTAACTCCTCCCCTCTTAAATACAATCGTCCCGATTGTTCAAAATGAATGAATATTGTAAATGCTGGATGTTTTAGTTTCTTTCGAAGTTGTAGGTAAATTTACTTCCGCAATCTCTATTTCATCTCCTGGGGCATCTTCGATTTTCAGATTATTATTTTCGGAGTTTTTTGCATATTTTCTTCTCAGTGATATTATTGTTATAGTTGTAAGGATTATTGCAGAAACACAACCGATGCCGACTGCTAAGGTACCTTTGGTTTCCATAGATCGTATTCGTTCGATGTTCTTTACGTTCAACTGTTTAAGCAGCTCCAATGATATTACTTCTTCTAATTTGTCTTTTGGACCTTTTGATTGCAAAAAGGCGGGAAGAGGTTTATTGGCACTTATTCCTCTTGAACTGTAACTGTGGCCATCGATTCTTATAGTGACGTTGAAATGTTTGATGAGATAAGTCCCGTTTAAAAAAATCTGCTCGTTGTCTACACTGATAGCGCCTTGATATTGGTTCAGCAAGAGCAAGTCCGATCCGATCTCTTCAATTGTTGGTATGTGTTCGTTGTTTATTTGGGTGCATTTCCCTACTCTACTTTTGAACAAATTAGTTATACAATTATCATTTCTTAATGAAATAAGCTTATCTCTATTACAAATTGTTATGTCGTAATTACTTTTACATTCTGTTTTTATTCCAAATAATTCTTTATTACATTCCAAAATTTTTTCGTATTCAATTTTATCAATTACATCTCCAGTTTTTATAGGTTTTATGAAATATACTTTACAAACTTCTTCTTGAGTTACAGGGATACTAAGGATGTACAAAATTTCTCGTTTATTTGTAACAATTTTTACGGATCCAAAAGTTAATAGTTCATCTATCGAATAAGTAGGAATATTATATTTTTCAAAAACAGTGTTTATTTGATCGATTTCGATTTTAGAAAGCAGAAATGAATTGACGATATTAGCTTTAGCCCACTGTATTGCAAACTCTACGTTTTGTAACTCTTTTTCAATAAAATTAAGTTTTCTTTCGATTTTGGATACTACTTCATCGTTCCACCCTTCCCTTTTTATCATTTCATTCGTCTTATTAGTTATTTCGGTTATTCTTTCCGAAATTAATTGGTTTATTATCAGCTGACTATTGTTATTTTCCAAAATATTGCCAATTTTCTGTTCTAGGATCTGAAAATCATGACTATCTGGACTGCCTGCAATCCACTTCCAAGCACTTCCTATGAAGTCTATCGATCTTTTCTCTCTGTGCGGCATCAGACGGTCTAATAGTCCATTGATGTCAATTAATTGTTGCTTCATAAATGGACGGAGAGGATGGTCTAGGTTCACGAATTTGTCTAGAATGTGTTCGGTTTCACGAGTGAGGTTTTCATACTGTTCAAGATCTATTGAATGAATTACTTTAAATGTCCCGTTCTGTTTCCTTGCTATTCCATTATGAATTGAAATGAGTCTTGCGTTCGAGTAGTCGAGGATGCTGAAGTCAGCCAGGGCGTTTCCAGGAAACAATCTGTAAAATTTAGGATTTTATTAATTTCTAATATGGCTTTT